TAGTCTCACTCGGTCGCCCAGACTGGAGTGCAGTGGCAGCTCCCGGCCACCACAGCCTCAACCTGCTGGGCTCCCGCGATCCTTCCGCCTCAGCTTCCGAGTAGCCGGAATTACAGCCACGTACTACCACACCCGGCTGATTTTTTGATTTATTGTAGAGATGAGGTCTCACTGCCCAGGCGAGTCTCGAACCCGCGGGTCTCTTCTTTACCTATTGAAGTCCTAACCACTATTTTATCACCCAGTCAGAACTGAATTTGCATCTTCTGGACTCATAGTATTATTCACTGCACAGCACCAGGTTACTACCCTACAGTTCAGTTATTTGCACAGTCACATTTTCCCTACTGGATGATAAACTCCTTGAAGGTGAAGCCCTTGTCAAGGGTGGGGAGATGAACCAGTAAGAGTTGAGACTGTGTCTCCCATTGTTTTCTTTCTTTTTTTTTTTTTAAGTTGGAGTCTCACTCTGTCACCCAGACTGGAGTGCAGTGGCCGCTCCCGGCCACCGCAGCCTCGACCTGCTGGGCTCTGGCGATCCTTCCCCCTCAGCCTTCCAAGTAGCTGGAACTACAGGCATGCACTACCATGCCAGCTACTTTTTGATTTATTGTAGAGATGAGGTCTCGCCAAGTTGCCCAGGTGGTTCTCAAACCCACAGGCTCAGGCAATCCATTCACCTCAGCCTCCCAAAGCGCTGGGGTTACAGGCTGAGCCACCAAGCCCGGCCTCTCCCGTTGTTTTCAAGCAGGGCTGTATGCATAGTTGTTAGGCTTCCAGGGTGATATCATTATTGTTTTCTCTTTTCTTCCTAACTACAACCATATGCTGATAATTTTGAATTCCTTACTCTGTCCTTCATTGTCCTGCACTTGCGATGAAATCCGTCTGGCGAATGTCTCCGGCTGACTGTCCCTTGGTATCTCAGGGGTAATATGTTCAACACTGATCTCTCATGTCCTTCCACTCCCCCATCCCACACAGTCTGCCCTCTTCGTGTATGTGGTATCATATATTTGGTGGCATAGCCTACCCAGTTCCGGAAGCAGAAACTTGGAGGGCATTCTTCCTTCCTCTCCTTTGTTGGCTACACAGAATGAGTCACCAAATCTAACTCCTTTGCTTCCTAAATTCATTTACCCATCCTCCTGTGTCAAGATTCGGATCCTCCTCTCAAGTAGTTTTACTGTAATTTCTCTCTCATGAGTCCACGTTGTCCTGTCCTTAATCCTGTTAAGTCCATCCTCTGCCTCTACAATGTGATTATGTTGCTCTGCCTCTTGTGAAACCCTGTGGTGTCTTCCTTCCACATACATCAGGGAAGACAAAGTTGGTTTTATCGCATGAACCACCTCTGATCAATTGGGTAATGGCTGCTGCAAGTGCTGCCGTTGGGTTCAGCGCGATCACCTGGCGCTCTCTGACAAAGTACAGCGATGGCAGTGGGCAACACGTAGCATAGCGGGGATTAAGTTCAAGCTCTTTGGCATGGCACACAAGGTCTCCCGTGACCCCCGATCCTTCCATGTCTTCATCCTCAGCTCACTTCACCCTGGAGCAGCAGGGAATGGCTTTGTCTTCTCGCTTTTGTTCCATCTGAACTTGCTTCCATTCTCAGGCTGACAGCCTCAGTGCGTGCAGAGTCCCTGGGCTGGGCCCTACATGAGGCAAAGTGTTATTTTTTTTTGAAGTTGACAAATAGAAGAAAGGGTAAACAGTTATTGTGTTCAACACGATGTTTTGAAATGTATATATTGTGGAATGGCTAAGTGTTTCTCCTTAGGCTCTAGTGGCACCCTGTGACTCCACCCCCGACAGTATACATCACATTGCCATTGCAAAAGACAGTAAATACCATTAGAACAAATGTCATGTTTGGGAGTCTCTCCTGTTTATCAGAGCCCTTTTCATGTGATACCTTTTGTGGACTAAATTGTTCATAGAACTGAAATGAGTTAGTCCATGGTTTTGTTTGTGACTACACTTGGCTTTTTAAAAAATTTAAATATGATTGTTGAACCTACTTTTGCTTCAGGGTGAAAGGACCGATGTCAGGAGTGTTCAGGCTCTGCAGAAAATGTTAGATTGGTGAATCAGGCAGTAAGTAGACGATGGACGCTTTTGAGCAGGGGCGTGGCATGCTGACAGTGGTATTTAAGGAAGGTTGATCTGGAGAGACAACCAGTCATTATAGGCTTAAGCCACCGCTGGCAAGCGTAGGTGAGGGTCGCAGGGGGAGGAGAGGGAAAGAAAGGGATGAAGCCATTCTGAGGAACAGATTCCTGAGTCTTTGTACTTTCATTTCCACATTTGCTCACGTGGGATGTACTTGCTGGCATGTTTCCAAAAATAAAACAGAGCGCCGAGGTTATTTTTACTTTCAGAGAAGAACATTTTTGCAAAACACCTAAGTGAGCCATTTTACATAATTATCTGTGAGACATATTCATGATTAATGACTTGGAAAGAGTCGTTACGAGTTCAAAATTTTTTAAAAATAGCTAATATCTGTATAGCTAGCCTGCAATCTTCTATAGTCGGTGAAGGTTTTCATTTTGTCATGTTTTAAAAATAATCGTTAAATATGAGGAAAATACTTCCGTTTTGGTTTTCGTCAGGTTTTTGGGATTTAACATCTCCATACTAACTGTAGTTTTCTGTTTCCTTTTTTTCCCCATGGGTATTTGCATTTTGTATTTGACTCATGTGACTGTTTTCTAGTTAAAGTTTATCTTTCATTTGTGTTGGGCCATGTAGCTCAACTCTGCTTTATTCTTCATATTGGCCACTATAAACTGTTAAATTTACAGTTGATTTTTTTTTCTGTTACAGAGTTATGACTCACTGATTAAAAAGAAAGACTTTTCCAAATACTTTGCACTTTTGATTGCGTATTATGGATACCAAGGAAGAGAAGAAGGAACGGAAACAAAGTTATTTTGCTCGGTAAGCATTCACTTTGCAAAATTATATCAGTCCTTAAAAAAAAAAAAAAAAATGGAGGGGACTTTGTCCTCAAGTATTACTTAGCATTTTGTGCTTTATGGCTGTTCGTAAACAGAGCAGGTAACCAGTAGAAGTTAAATATGCTTTGCTTTGTCCATTTTCCTGTTTATATTAGAGGAATGACATTTGGTTCTTCTCTTTCTAACTTTGATAGTTCTCTAAGACCAGTGCTGCTCAGAGAGTCCTGCTATCATGCACTGACCTACAGATTGTTCTGAATCCCATGTTTGGCCATCTACCTTGAATTTCAAATCCTAAGTGCTTTGCCTTTGCTGTTCTGAACTTAGTTAGTTAAGCTACAACCAAAAATCTATGACACATTTAAAGCTTATTTGTGAGGAGTTCATTAATAAAAAATATTTTTGTAGGTAGATGAAATATATTTTGGTGAAAGTATATTTTGGAATTCATGCATTTTTAAGGCTTGAATTTGTTCAACCTATATACATTTGTTGATATCTGAGTAGACATAATCTAGAATATGATTGATTACTGTTTACAGATTTGAACATCTATATGGCAGGCATGAATCATAATAAAATAAATGATATGTTAAACATTTATAAATTATTTTGATGACCAGAATGCTTTCAGACTCAGAGAACATAGGCTTAAAATTGTCATTTTTCCCCTCCTAAACGGAAATACTGCTTAAGAACCAAATTTAGTCTCACTCTATTCCCAAACCCCAATCTATGCTCATTAAAGATGCATTTGCTGTTTTCTAAATATAAGCCTTGAAACTAGAAGCCAAAGTTTGTTGATGATGTGTTTAGTCAATAATTAAGCTGGATTTTAGGTTATTGGTGGGAAAAGGAATGAAATAACTAAAGAACCTGCCACATACTAAGTGCTTTGCTTTTTATTTTATTTATCTTCAAAATAAACCTATGGCATTGGTTACTTTATTTTGTATTTTATCAGTAATGTAATTAAGAATTAGAAAGTATTTTGTCCATTTTGTATAGCATGATAGCCAGTATTCAAACATAGGGCCGTCTCCAAAGGGCATGTATTCCATTTAGGAATAAACCATGAATAAGGGTTTTTGGAAAACAAGAATTAAACTACAAACTGTAGTGAATTGTTTTCTGCTGTTAGGACTACAGAGAGTAACCAGATTGAGGAGGGAAGAAATCAGGCATCTAAAGGATGAAATGCTAGTACATTTAGAATAAGTAAGAATGACATAATGTCTTACTTTGAGATCATTGTAGATTCATGTGTACTTGTAAGGCATAACAGAGAGAGAGCCTGTATCCTTCAGCCAGTGCCCCCAAAGGTGACATCTTGCAAGACTGTAGTCCAGTATCACAACTAGGAAATTGACACTGATGCAGTATGTCAACCTTATTCAGATTTCACCAGATTTATAAGTACTCATTGTGTGTGTGTTTGTATGTATTTAGTATGGAGTTATATCACATGTATAGGTTTGTGTGGCCACCATCAGGCAAGATATAGAACAGGATTGGATTAATCCTTCCATTAAAAGGATCCCACGTAATACCCTTTGGTAGCCATCTCCACCCCCCTTCCTTTTTCTGTCACCTCTGACAACAACTAATATGTTCTAATCTCTGTAATTTGTCATTTCGAGAGTATGATATAAATGGACCTTTGTATGTAACCTTTGGCATTTAGCTTTTCTTTTTCACTCAGCTTAATTCCCTTGAGATATAAGCTGTTGCATGTATCAATCGTTTGGTCCTTTTTTGAGTCAGAGTCTCAATCTGTCACCCAGGCTAGAGTGCAGTGGCATGCTCATGGCTACCCCAGCGTTGATCTGCTGGGCCCACGTGATCCTTCTGCCTCAGCCTTCCAAGTAGCCGGAACTACAGGCATGTGCTACCACGCCTGGCTAACTTTTTGATATATTGTAGAGACGAGATCTCCCCAAGTTGTTCAGGATGATCTCAAACCCCTGCCTCAGGCAATTCTCTTGCCTCAGCCTCCCAAAGTGCCAGGATTACAGGCCACTGTGCCCGACTTTGGACCTTTTTAATTGCTCAAAGAATTCCATGGTATGGATGTAGCATAACTTTTTAGTCATTCACCCACTGAAGGACAGTTGGGTTGTTTCTTGTTTAGGCTATTAGCAACAAAGCTGCTAGGATGTTTTGTGGACAAGTTTTGTGTAACATTAGGCTTTTTATTTCTCTGAGATAAATGTCCAAGAATGAAATTACTGGACCAAATGGTAAGTATATGTTTAGTTTTGAAAGAAACTGTGATACTGTTTTTCAAAGTGATTGTACCCTTTGACATACCCATCAGTAAAGTATGAGTGAGTCAGTTTCTTTGCAGTGTCACCAGAATTTGGTGTTCTTGATATTTTTTATTTTAGCCATTCTAATAAGTATGTAGTGATATCTCATTGAGGTTTTCATTTATATTTCCTTCATGGCTAGTGAAGTTGAACATATTTTTATGTGCATTCTAGGCTGGGCATGGTGGCTCCTGGCATTTTGGGAGATTTACGCGGGAGGATCGCTTGAGACAAGGAGTTCAAGACCAGCCAGGGCAACATAGTGAAACTCAATTTCTAGGGAAAAAAAAAAAAGACTTCTTTATACACTCTGTATACTAGTCCTTTGTCAGATATGTGGTTTGCAAAAATTTTCTTCCAGTTTGTAGTTTGTCTTTTTTAGCCTCTTAACGGAATTTTTTGTAGAGCAAAAGTGTTTAATTTTGATGTGGTTCAGTTTATCAGCTTCCCCTGTCATGAATTGTGCTTTTGGTGTCAATTTTAACATCTCTTTGCCTAGCCCTAGGTTCTAAAGATTCTCTCCTTTTCTTTTTCTAAAGGTTTTATAGTACTGTGTTTTATCTTTAAGTTTGTGATCCATTTCGAGGTAATTTTGTATAAGGCATGAGTTTAGGTCAAGGTGGTTCTTGTTTTTTGGCTTATGGATGCCCCACATAGTGATTTTAAAAACTCTGGTCTGAATCCAAAGTGATTCTAATAGTAAGGTTAACTGGTGGATAATAACAACCTGTTCAGTGTCAGCCTGTTCTTGTTCCTAAAATGTAGAATGGGGAGCGCCTCAAACAAGTAAACCAAAACTGTTCTAGAAGAACAGCATCGTTTTTTTCCACTTAGAAGTGTAAATTTTAATTGTTATTCTTACCTTGCTGTCTTCTGAAAAAATTCTAACAATGAAAAGAAAAACATGTCCAAAAATGCTTAAGTACGATCTTGGACCAGAATCAGTGGTGCTGGTAAAACAGTAAGATGACATGGCTTGTAACTCAGAAATGAGGGAGAAAGGGAGGGAGAGAGGAGAGAGAGAACATAGACAGACAAGTCTGTAGCTTAGCCATTCCAACACAGTGGAAGCCAGAAATGGCTAAGCTATTAAAAGCAAAACAGCAAACCAAAAACAAAGAAGAACTCTCAAAGCCCACAAACAGAAAAGAACCCTCCAAAGTTGTAAATCTTTTCAAGTGCCTTCTGACAAAACTATGGAATTATCATCAAGTGGAATTACTGACAGAACTTACTTGAGAGCCAATTTCTGACAACATCGGACAGATTTCTCTGGAGCAGAGCACTTAAGAGCAGTGCAAGCTAGCACTCTAGAGATGGGTATAAAGTCAGGCCAAGGGTAAGGCCAAGTTGATGCAATCACAGTTTTCTCTAACTAAATTACACCACCTTACACAAATCTCAGCTAGCTTTCGGAGGAAATCACAAGGAACGTTTACTCTGCTGTTCTGTCTGCTGCCACACTTGTGTGTCTGAAACCAAAAAAATTGCTCTTCGAACTGTTCCCCCCCTGCTCTTTTTCTCTTGCGTAAACAGCTAGTGTTTTCTTTGTATGCTATCTTATGTGGTTTTATAAACACTGTATGTTTTGTAAACAATCCTCTACCAAACCTCCTTTGCTGATGTTTTTCTTTCCCTCAGTTTAACATTAAAGCAAAGTTAAAAGACCTAATTTTAATAATTTTAGGTTGAAATCAGTGATTTGCAGGTCATCCATTCCTTCCTTTCTCTGAATTCGTCTTGAAATGTTCCCATGTTACTTGAAACAGAAGGGTGTATTGGTATCACTAGATTTGTTCTAGATAAGTCCTGCTGAATTTTCAGGACTCCTGACCTTGGTCCACCTGGTTTTCAGGTGCTTTGGGATAGTTTTGTTAATTCTAGGTTGAATGACTGTGAGACCTTTTCAGGTGTTTTTGCAAAAAATTTATAAGAGCAAAATTAGTATGTTATATATATGTGTATATTAACCCCTTGATCTCTGACAGATCTTGAAAACCAAATGAAAAACTGAATCGTTATAGCAAATTATACTCCCTGTACTTACTACTTGTTCTATGTGCAAATTAGACTGTCCTCTAGGGTGACTTATTCTTGATGTCCCTGCTTCTTCCTCCCTTCCCTGGTAGTTAGAATTCAGATATCTCTTCAGTGATTCCAGATGGGGTGCTCTCTCCTTCCACACTCATTTGACTGGTTTTTGTGATTTTCAAGTAGGCCCCTCTATGTTGTTTACAGGTGTGTTCAAAAATTCAAAAACACATTTTTCAGGGTCAAGGGCTAACTGGGGACATCCATAATACATGTGCAGTTAACCCAAATGGTGTTTTGTGGGCGGTTTACTTTTCCCCTCTGAGAAGGTCTGAGGGCCTCTGAATAAAGGCTCATCAGCCAGGCTCAGTGGCTCAGCCTGTGATCCTGCGCCTTTGGGAGGCTGAGGTGAGTGGATTGCCTGAGCCCGCAGGTTCGACACCCGCCTGGGCAACTTGCCGAGACCTTGTCTCTACAATAAATGAAAAAATTAGCCGGGCATGGTAGCGCGTGCCTGTAATTCCAGCTACTCGGAAGGCTGAGGCGGAAGGATCGCCGGAGCCCAGCAGGTCTAGGCTGCGGTGGCCGGGAGCGGCCGCTGCACTCCAGTCTGGGTGACAGAGTGAGACTCCAACTCAAA